TCCCGTTGCCGGTCCCCGGTCCGGTACGGGGGCAACACTGAGCGTTGCGATCCGTTGCCGGACACGGAAAAAAGACAAAAGACAAAAAAAAAAAAAAAAAAAAAAAGGATGTACAATTGTTTTAAAATTGTGATGAAGTTCAATTTATCTTTTGTTGTTGTTGTTGTTGTTTTAAAGATGACAGGTAAGGGGATCTTAACCCTTGACTTGGTGTTGTCAGCACCACGCTCTCCCAAGTGAGCTAACCGGCCATCCCTACATAGGGATCTGAACCTGTGGCCTTGGTGTTATCAGCACCACATTCTCCCGAGTGAGCCACAGGCCGGCCCTTTTGTTGTTGCTTTTCTGGGGTTTCCTTTCGAGGTGATGAAAGTGTTCTAAAGTTGACCATGGTGATGGTTGTACATATCAGCCTGCCCCACCTCCACACTCCCATGGCCTTGACCTCTCTTTCCCCCTTCCCCACCCACCTGGCACCTCACTCCCCTCCCCTGTTCATGAGTGGCTCTGCTCCCTGCTCTTAGCGGACCAGAGCACCAAGTGCCCCCCTGCCTGGCCGCCCCACCCAGAATGCTCTCCACCCAACCTCTGCCCAGGCACAGCCCCCCAACCCAGTGCAAAGGCCGCTCCTCCCTGAAACCATCCCTGCTGGGTTGGAGGGCCTAGCCCTCTTTCTGTGCTTCTCTTTTGATGGGCAATAGGCGACAGAGCCACCGTGGTGAAAAGCCCGATCTCTGTGGCTGGGCGCTGAGTGCCATCCTGGCTCCACTCTTTGCTGGCCATGTGAACATGAGCCATCACCCCCCTGTACCTCAGTTTCTCCCCGTAACATGGAGATAGAAGGAGTAATTATCTCCTGGGAGTGCTGTGAGAATACACGAGTGAACCCACATCCAGAGGCCCTGTGGTCCTCCTCTTCCCCACCTGACTCCTCCCAGTCCTGTCCCCACCCACGTTCCCCACCCTCACCCTGTGGAGCCTCACACCCGCCTCCTGCCTGGGGCTCTCAGCCTACACCAGCCTAGGAGTGTCCTGGGGACAAATAACCATGAACCTGGTGGCTTAAAACCACAGTAATGTATCTCCCCCAGTCCTGGGCACCAAAATTCCATGATCAAGGTGTCGGCAGGGCCAACCGCCGCCACAGCCTCCAGGGGAGAGTGCTTCCTGGCCTCTCCAGCTTCTGCTGCTGGCTGCAGTCCTCGACGTTCCTGGTCTCGCAGCTGCCTCTCTCCAGTCGTCGTCACATGGCCTCCTCCCGTGTGTGTCTCCATGTGTCCTCTCCTCTTTTTAGAAAGACACCAGTCATTGGCTAAGGTCTCACACTAACCCGGCGTGACCAGAGCTGCCTCCTCTTCCTCCCCCTGCCCCCACCTAACCCCCACCCTGCCCTAGGTGCACCAACATCTTAAACAGCAACGGTGAGCTCCGAGGCTTTCGGCCTCGGGATCGGGACGACATGGTGAAGAAAATCATCGAGCCAATGGCTTGCGATGGCCTCCGCACCATCTGCATCGCCTACCGGGACTTCCCTGCAGGCCAGGAGCCCGACTGGGACAATGAGAATGAGGTCGTGGGCGACCTCACCTGCATAGCTGTCGTGGGCATCGAGGACCCCGTGCGGCCCGAGGTAGCAATCCCCTTCTCTGTGAGCTGCCCCGGTGACTGTGAACTTGGCCAAGGTTGTCCAGACATGTGGCCAGCACCTTTCTCCACCCCAGCCTCTGCACGTGGGCTTTGCACCCCAACCTGCAAGGAGAGCCCCGCCCCTTTCCCCTTGCTTCCCAGGCGGTCACGCCGCTTCCTGCCAGAGTCGTAGGTAGAGCAGCCCTGGCTGCCCGCCAGGGTCCAGAAAGGCTGGGGAAGGAAGAAAGATGGAGGGCAGAGCCTCGGAAGCCTCCGGGGGTGCAGTGACTGCGCCCCAGATCACACCCTCCCCAGTACTCCTGACCCCTGCCACCCACATGGAGGTTCCGTCCTGCCCTCTGGAAGACCCCCCTCCTGCTCAGCCTGTGGTGAGAGAAGGTGGCAGTGAGAACCTCGACCCCTGCAGGACTGAGGGACTGGAGGGGGTGGTAAGGGAGAGGAGGAGTCGGGGTGACTGAGCGGGGAAGCCTGAAGGGGCACAGGTTTTGGGGGCAGGGTGGGTGGTTCTCGGTCAAGGGTTTGGTTGGGGCCACATGAGATTCAGGACATCCCCGTGGAGGTGTCAAATGGGCAAGTGGCTATAGGAGTGGAGCACTCTCGGCAGAGGTCCTGGCGGGTGTGCTGCTGCAACAGAGGCCAGACAGGGAGAGGGTCCTCAAAGGTCACGTAGCTGACACAAGAGCAGAGTGAGCACGGCGTTGACACTGGGAAGTCGTCGGAGACCTTGACCTCAGTCGGCTCCATGGCATGGCTGTGTTTGTTGGTCTTTGACGATGGGAGACCCTGGAGAGAGGGAGAGTCACGCAGACAGCAGGCCTAACAGGGAGGGTGCCAGGCTCGGGGCCTTCCCAATGGCACCCACCTTGTGTCAGAAACAGGGCCACCTTGACCCTGCCTACTAACCCGAAAGCACGTATTTATAGGAGCTGCCCTTGAGGGTGTGGGTGTAATTGGGGAGAAGCTTCTGGGCTCTCCTTTGGGAGATACTCCATTCAGAAGACAATGCTTGCTTCATCCAAACACTGGCCATAGGTCACCGGCAATGGAGCAGAGACGGAGTACCTTGAGCTAGGCCTGGGAGAAATGGATGGTGGCAGAGGAGGAGGAGAGAATTCCAGCAAGCAGAACAGGCCAGCAAGCCTTAGAAGGCAGAGCAGGAGGGTGCTGGCCAGGCGAGGCAGGGCCATCCCTGGGGACATGGGCTCAGGCCTTCCCATTCAGGAGCCATCCGATCCCTTCATTGCACCGGGAAGAAACTGAGGCACAGAGCAAGCTGAGTAATAAACTGGTGCTGCCCTTGCATAGACGTGGCTTGCCCCCTTTGTCCTTTGACCTTCCCCTTCTCAATGGAGCCTTTCACCCCTTGCCCACGCCCAGTGGCTGCAGGCCCCTGGGTGGCGTTCAGTGCTGCTCCCTCCTCACACTCCAGACTTTTCCACCCAGCTTGCCGGAGCTCCTGTCAGAGTGTCGGAGGGCTCAGGGCCCAGGCCATTTCTGCACCTGTCAGTAAACAGCCTGCCCACCCCCAGCCGCCTGCCGGGACGGAGGTGCCCCAGGTGTGCAGCCGCCAGAGGCCGCACAGCCCAGGCAGCTGCCAGGCTCAATTCCGCAGCCCAGGAGCCGGGCAGGCAGCCCCTCATTTCTGGCATAAATATTTGTCAGATGAGCAGAAACTCAGGTCATACATTTAAGGACGGAGGCCTTAGACATTTCTGTAGACCTGAAAGGCAGGACTGGGGTGACCAGCTGCTGGTCCCAGTGAGCCCATTTAGGCTGCAAGGCTGCAGCTGTCCAGGGCAGTGGTTCTCCTGGTCAGCACACTGCCCCTGGGGTCCCAGAGGGGGACATTACTATTTTGTAAGTGTTCATCTCAGAAAATGTCGAGCACGGGCACAAGTCGTGAGGACGACGTAATGAAGACCTGGCTTCAGTGCTGCCTGGGCAGGCCAGAAGCTCAGGCAGCGAGAGGCCACTGAGGCCTGGTGATGGGCTGTTCGCTGACCATCCAGAAACAGCCTTGACAGAAGGCCCAGGAAACAGGGACAGCTCCTTTCTGGCTTGAGAGTGGCCAAGAGCAAGTCCAGGTGGCAGATCACAGCAACAGGGCCAGGCTGGGAGGCCAGGCAGATCCCCACGGAGACCAGCCAGCCAGGTGGTGCCCTAGGAGGGAGCATGGAGGGCCCTGCACATCCTGGGCAGCCAGAGCAGGCAGGAGGGCACTTGGGCCTCGGTTAAACTTGCCAGCATGCTTGGAGGCGTGGGGTGGCTGCAAGCAGAAGAGGGCGTGAGCTCTGCCCCTTGGGGGTGGTACGGACAGGCAGGCAGCCGTGGGCAACTCCTGCAGATACCCAGCTGGCTGCTGTGCTGTTGGGCCTTGGGGAGAAGGCAGGGGGCAAGGCCATGCATCCAGGAAGAACAATCTGTCCTATGAGGGAGAGGTCGTCCTCTGGAGAGGGGTCCTTCCTGACACCTGGCTTGGGGGGCCGAGACTGGCCTGCTCCTTCGGGCCTGACCAGCAAGCCTGGAGAAGAAGCCGACCCCCACTGCACTTGAACTGGGTAGTAGCTCCCATGTGTCAGGCTCGGCATGGCCACTTGGTGGCAGCAGAGGGTGGCTTCCAGATGCTTCAGGGATGCTCACTAGAAGAGGAGTTGAATCCCTGTGGCTCATGACCTCATTATCCAGCACTGCAAGATGCTCATTATTGAGGGCTGCACGATGTCCTTCCCGGCCACTTTGCGTATTTGCTGCATGGATCATAGGGTCACTCTGTTACAACCTGAAGTGGGGGCCCCTCTCTTCTCGTCCCCACTCTCTCCCTGGCTGAGATCGCAACATGTCCCCTCCCCATGGCCTGTGGGGCCACCAGCATGCTGGGGACTCCCAGGTGAGTGTCCTTCCCTGGGGTTTCCCAGCCCCAGCCCCTACCATGTGGCTCCTGCTCCTGTGTCCACCCCACCTGTGCCCAGGCTCCCTAGGCCTGGGGACTGGGATACCCACACACTTTCGTGCACTCCACCTCGGGCTCAGCGACTGTCCCCAGGGCTTCCATGCCCAGCCCGTAGGCCCAGGCTCTCAGGGCATCATCTGCCTGACCCAGTCTCACTCCCCTCTGGGCCTGAAGAGCCACAAGCCTCTTTGTTCACTTGGGAACTGTCCTCTCCATCCCCCCATTGCTGGGACGATGCCACCACCTCCCGGCTGGTCTCCTGGCTTTCCACTCTCAACCCCCTTCAGCCTGTTCTCCACTCAGCACTAGAGGGGTCCCTCTCTCCCTTCCTCCAGAACCTAATATGATGTCTGGAGAGTGCAATGCATGCCCCATGACCGAGGCGAGGCTCCATCTGCCCTAGCGAGCGGCAAAGCCTACAGCGCCAAGGAAAAGGCCAATTCCTGAGAAAAATGTCTTAGCTTTTATATTGTAAAGAAAAACAAAGAGCCGGAAGCGAGAGAGAGAGGACCCAGAGCTTGGCTGCAAGCCACCTGACAGCCGAACCCCCTCCCTGAGGCAGGGCCACAGAGGGCCAGGCCTGCCGTGGGCTCTGCTGGCCGTCGGGAGCCCGCAGGAGGGCAGGGGCAGGAGGCCCTTCCTTGCTCTTCTCTAGAGCTCGCCGCGCTGCCAGCTGCCTGCTCACTGGGCTGGCCCTGGCTCCGCAGCTGGAAAAGGAGGTTGGCAGAGCTGGGCGATTTCTCTGATCACCCAGGTGACTTCGCCAAACACGAGCCTGATGGTGCCCCTCAACAGCACAAAACCTTCCAGTGGCCTCTCCCAGTCCTGCTAGTGCTGTCGGGGTCTGAGTCATTGCTGGTCCCCAGGGCCTGGCACAACCAGGACCCGGCATGGTGCAGGAGGCATTGGAGGAGGCTGGCTAAGGGGACCTGTCCTCTGTGGCTGGGTGCCGGTGGCAGGGCAGGCCTGCCATGGTCTGCACCTCTCTGACCTCACCCCGGCACAGAGGCCCCACCTTGGGGCCACAAGTGTGGCTTCACGGTCAGCTTGGCCAGACCTTGGGTCCTGCAGGCTTGACAGAGGACACAAAATATGTATGGCTTGCCTTGATGGCCACCCCCCACCCCTCTCGTCTCCTCCAGGTCCCCGAAGCTATCCGCAAATGCCAGCGTGCAGGCATCACGGTCCGCATGGTGACCGGGGACAACATCAACACGGCCCGGGCTATCGCGGCCAAGTGCGGCATCATCCAGCCCGGGGAGGACTTCCTGTGCCTGGAGGGGAGGGAGTTCAACCGGCGCATCCGCAACGAGAAAGGCGAGGTAGCTCCCCGCCGCCCGCCCTCCCGCAGTCCCCAGTCCCGGCTGCCCCCACCTGCCCCGCTCTGCAGCATCCGCCTGCTTCCCTCCAGATAGAGCAGGAGCGGCTGGACAAGGTGTGGCCCAAGCTGAGGGTGCTCGCCCGGTCGTCCCCCACCGACAAGCACACGCTAGTCAAAGGTGAGCAAGCTCCCCTTCCCGAGGTGCCCCCATCAGCTGCTCTCAGACGCCCAAAGCCACTCGCAGAGGGGCTCCAGGGCCTGCCTAGGCAGCCGGTTCCTCAGCTCCAGACCCGTTGCCTCTAGAGACTTGCTCTGTGCCTCCGACCAAGTCACTGGCCCTCCCTGAGCCTCAGTTTCCTCATCGGGAACAGGGACAGTAATGAAGACCCCCTCCGAGGGCTACTGGGCCAGAGCTCAGCCCTCCGCTTTCAGCACAAACCTTGCTCCTCTGCGTGAACAGGACGAGAGGGAAATGCCCAAGCAAACAGGGCCTGTAGACGCTGGGCCCCCATCGTAACAGATGGGGAAACTAAGGCCCAGGAGCAGGAGACATTTCTCCAAGTCACAAGTGCTGGGCCCCTCCCTTCTGCCAAACCACAGCACCCTGTGTCATCTCCTACCCGCTGAACAAGTGAGCAAGTCTCACCGGGGGACGAGCCGCCGGGACAGGAGGAGGGAGACGGGGACGGGCCAGTCCGACCATGGCTTGGGCACTTGATCCTGCAGGTTATGGGGAGCACAGAGGATGGGGGCACTAGGCACGGGTACAATCCCAAAGGGTTTTCAGAGCCAGCCCACCCTCCACAGTTCCCTGGGTCAGGCCACACAAGGCTGTGGTGACAGATGGCACCAGCCCTGCCCTGCCCCACTCTACGTTCCAGGGATTATCGACAGCACCACCGGCGAACAGCGGCAGGTGGTGGCCGTGACTGGGGATGGCACGAACGACGGGCCGGCCCTCAAGAAGGCGGACGTGGGCTTCGCCATGGTAAGCTGCCCGGTGCCAGCTCAGCGCAGCGCAGCACACGAGGCCTTGTGTCTCACGGACGTTAGCTTCACGCCAGAAAGTGGGAGCGAGCGTTGGGGGTGGGGTTGGAGGGCACCAGAAGGTTCTTGCTTTCACATCCTGGCCACCTGGGCCTGTGTGGGCTCTGCCAGCCAAGGGATACATGTGTGATGTGTTTAAAGGTATTTGGCGTGATGACACCTGAGGTGACAGTGGGACCCGGAAAGGGGAGCCAGGGGTGGGGGCTCGTCAGGGATGGCACCTGCCTGTCATCACCCACTCCCAGTCCACTCTAAGTGGACTCCTGTCCCCAAATGTGATTAGCAGAGTCCCCAGACAGGCTTTTCCTCTGTGCTTCTTTCCAGTCACTCATTGGAGCTAGTGCTTCCTGTAAAACCCTGACCCCACTGAGCAGGGTGGCCTGGCAGGCGATGCCCACATGGCTGGCCCTGAGCCCAGGGGAGCTGGGCTCAGCCACTGAGGGCAGAGACCTGGCCTGTCCCTCTCTCACCCTGCCTGCCAAAAAGGAGCACCCTTCACCCAGCCCGCATTCAGTCCGGTCCTCCACAGAGCCCGGAACCCAGAGACGAGACCGAGCTGAAGCCCCAGGTGCTGGGAGAGCCAAACTGAGCTTCATGGGGCTGGTGGCTCTCACGGGGCTGGGCCTAGGCCAGGCGAGAGGGCTGAGCAGCCTTGCACGACTGCAGCTGTGCTTGCACCAGGGGACTGGAGCGGCGAGGACGGGGCCCGTCCTGCAGACACCTGCCGTGTGGCAGGGGGACAGGCTCCTCACCCTGCTGAGGCGTCCTCACCCAAGACTCCCAGGCCCCTTAGATAGCAGGCTTCTCTAGGGCACCAAACATGGATGGAAGGCTGATTGGTGGCCATGTGGCAGCCACTGGGCCTTGTGTGTAAAGCCATGTTGATGGCCACATCATCAGCACCCTCAGTATTTATGACCAAAGTCCTCCTCACGGTGACATGTGACAACTTGCTGTTTGTAGCATGAGACGTATTGGATATAAACAAGTGCTGTTCTCAGCTAGGGGTGGGGGGTGGTTATTTGGAAGGAAAGAGTGGACTGGGGGAGCTAAGGAAGGGGTCCCATGGACACTGTGTGTGTGTGTGTGTGTGTGCGTGTGTGTGTCTGTGTGTGTGTGTGTGTCTGTGTCTGTGTCACCCCCCAGGGCATCGCAGGGACCGACGTGGCCAAGGAAGCCTCCGACATCATCCTGACCGATGACAATTTCACCAGCATCGTCAAGGCGGTCATGTGGGGCCGCAACGTGTATGACAGCATCTCCAAGTTTCTGCAGTTCCAGCTGACGGTCAATGTGGTGGCCGTGATTGTGGCCTTCACAGGCGCCTGCATTACTCAGGTGGGCACCAGGGGCTACTGAGCCCTGTTGAGGACAACTGGGCTCTGCCCCCCACAATGCATGGGACCTGCAGGAGGCAGCTGGCTTCCCAGGGCAGTGGCTCGGGCCGAGGCTCTCGGGCCTGAGGGCCACACTTGGAGAGTGAGTGTTTTTCCTCTGCTGCAGAATTTTTTAATTGAGATCAAGTTCACATACCAAAAAATTCACCATTTTAGTGTACACGGTTCAGTACATGTTTTTTAGCACATTCACAATGTCGCACGACCATCACCTCTGTCTGATTCCAGACGTTTTCATCAGTCCCAAAGGAAACCCCAGACCCGTTAGCAGTCACCCTCCATCCGTCTCCCACACCCCGGCACCCACCAAGCTGCTTTCCATCTATATGAATCTGCCTCTTCTGGGCACTTCATGTCAACAGGATCACACAATGTGTGGCCTTTTGTGTCCTGTGTCTCAGCACAATGTTTTCAAGGTCTGTTCACATTGTAACGTGGGTCCGCATGTCATTCCTTTCCGTGGCTGATGAGTGTCCCATTGCAAGAATGTGCCCAGTTTGTTTATCCGCCATCAGCTGGCGCACCTCCCGTCGCCTCCTCTTTGGGATATTGCGGATGGTGCTGCCGGGAACGTCCCCGCGCCGGCTTCTGCGGGGATGCGCGTCTTCCGTTCTCCTAAGTCTAGACCCAGGAGCGGGGTGTCTGGGTCAACACGGGGACTCTGGCCTTTGCCCTGGGCGGGGGCTTCTCCCTTTCCTCAATAGTCCCCTTCTTCCCGCTGGTGACTGTCCAGAATTTATTCATCCGCCCTTAGAGAGGGTCGAGTTCATGGTGGACAAGTAGTTGAATTCCGTGCTGATCAACTCGGTCCTTTAAAAGATTCTTTTTTAATCGAGCTAAAATTCACTTACGATAGACTTCATAATAACCTTTTTAGGTGTACAATTCAGTGACTTTCAGTACATTCACGCTGCTGTGCAACTATCACTTCTATCTACTTCTAGAACATTCTTATCACCCCAGAAAGACACCCTGTCCCCATTAGCCGTCACTGTCTGCTCCGTCTTCCCCCAGCCCCTGCCCGCCACTCGCCCCTTGCTCCCTGTGCAGTTGTCACTTGTGTGTCTGGCTTCTGTGAGGCAGATTTTTAAGCAACAGCTGAGAGGTGAGAAGGAAGGTCCAGCTCAGAGTTGCTGCCCCCTCCTGGCCCCGGGCTGTCCCAAATGGCGGCCCTCACTGCCAGGCTGTTTGCAGTCTGGGGTGACTGACGGGGGTCCTCCCCTCCCGCTAAGGACTTCAACCACACCTTCCAGACCAGTGTCACCAGGTGGGGGAAGAAGGGAGGTGGACATCTGAGAGCCCAGTGAAAAAGCCCCGCTAGCCTAGAGACAGCCTAGGGATGGAGATGTCACGTCGTTATGGGAATGAACTTCTGGTGACACTGACCCCCCCGGAATTTCCTCCGGCCCGTGGAAGGTGACTGCCTCCCTTCTGCAGGACTCTCCTCTCAAAGCCGTGCAGATGTTGTGGGTGAACCTGATCATGGATACGTTTGCCTCTCTGGCCCTGGCGACCGAGCCGCCCACAGAGTCGCTGCTGCTGCGGAAGCCATACGGCCGGGACAAGCCCCTCATCTCCCGCACCATGATGAAGAACATCCTGGGCCACGCCGTCTACCAGCTCACCGTCATCTTCACCCTGCTCTTTGTCGGTAGGTTGGCCCCAGCACACAGGAGGCCTTTGGGCGCTGTTGCTGTCCCCTGGGGTCCAGACCCTGTCTGGCACACGTCTGTCCCTACCCCTGAGCCCAGCATAGGGTGGGACCCAGCAGTTGCTGGCCGAATGCTGAACGAGAAGGAACGGATGGGCGAGGCGTGCCCCCCTGGCCCAGCCTGCCCCACACCCTCGGCCCTCACCTCCCTGCCAGGCCCCCACTACATGTGCCCCACCCGGGGTCACAGGGACTGATGTGGTGAAGGAGGATGGCCACTGACACCGGGAGCCCCTAACTCCTTCCAAGGCCCTGCCTCTCCTCCCAGGCCCCTGAGTAGCTGTGAAACAGCCCCAGTGTCCCAGCGTCTTGGCCACTGCTCTGTAGAGTAGGCAAAGTGGCTCATCCTCTGCCCCCACCCAGAGCGGCCATGGGAGCCTTGGGAATAGAGTAGGTCCCAGACCAGTCACCCACTTAGCCATAGCTGTTACTCCAGGGGACGATGACCAGGGTGCTCGGCTTGAAGTTGTGGGAGGACGAAGGGCAGCAGAGAAAGGGGAGCGGAGGCGGGGGGGACCTGCAGTCAGGCCTGGGGTGGCCAGGGGATCGGGATGCAGGAAGAGGGTGTGCGGCAGGGGCGGAGCCCAGACTGCTGGGATGAGGACACTCTGCAAGAAAAATGCAGAGCCCCAGGCCACTGGCCACTGGCCGTATGGACCGACATGGAGGGTACACTCCTGCAGAACTGAATCCTGCAGGGCCATGGCTCCTTATTGGAAGCCTCTCGCCTCTGCCAGCACTGGTGACAGCTTTCCTGGACGGTGCTTCTGCGTCCTGCACAGGCTCCATTTACCACAATTCCTTCACTCACAGCCAGGGCTTGGTTTGTGGGTTGTTCAGTTGGTGGCCTGTCTCCCCTATGCCGGGGGTGCTCTCCAGGTGCCTGGTGATCCTCGACCGTGTGGTTCCATATCCACGTGAGGCTCTTAGAAAGGGCTGGAAGCTGTGTCGGGTGGCCCGAGTCACCCATCACTGTCCTGCAGTGCCTAGTGAGACTCGGCTTTCAGGCTACGTTCCAGCGTGAGCTGGGGAGCAAATTGGAAACTTGGTGTGCAGGGACAGCATTTGCTGAGGGGCAGGACTCGCAGTGTCAGTAGCTGGGGGTCCTCTGGGAGAACCTTTCTCTGATTTCTTGGGAGCTGAAGCCTTCGATCGCCTGCTGAGGGCCTAGGCCGGCTGGCTTCCCAGTCCTAGGAGCCGGGCAGAGGAGGGGCTAGGCCCTCCGTGCACCCAGCAGCCATCTGATCCTCCCCAACCCACCCCAGCTCAATCCAAGGCGCACATGCCAAGAGATGCACCAAGGTCTGAGAAAAATAAGGACATCTCTTCTTAACTCCTTCCTTCCTGCCCTCAGAGTTCCGGTGCCTGCACCCCCAGGTCCAGTTCTCAGTCTGGTGGGGTCTCAGGATTCTGGTTGAGCCCTGGTCTGGCTGCCTTGGGCCTTGGCTACGAGTTCGAATTTGTCACCCTGTGGGATAAGAGACTCATGTCAGGAGCTACGCACTGCTATCTCACTCCTGAGTGGTGTGGCCCTGGTCTCCCACTGAGACACTGTGGGGAATGTCGGCCAGCACTGATCTGGCGAGTCCAGCCAGGGGGCTGTGTCCCACTCAGGGCCCCGCCCCCTCACACGCGCCCTGGGCTTGCAGGGGAGCTCTTCTTCGACATCGACAGTGGCAGGAACGCGCCCCTGCACTCGCCGCCCTCGGAGCACTATACCATCATCTTCAACACGTTCGTCATGATGCAGCTCTTCAACGAGATCAATGCCCGCAAGATCCACGGTGAGCGCAATGTCTTCGACGGCATCTTCGGCAACCCCATCTTCTGCACCATCGTGCTGGGCACCTTCGGCATTCAGGTAGGCGGGCGGGTCCCAGGTAGCCCTGGTCACCGTGCCCTCTGTGCATCTCAGAGCAGGCCTGTTTATGTTCCTGACATGTCCGGGCTTGCCCTGGGTTAGCTGCTGGCTTCCAGAGGGCTTCTGTAAGCCACCATCAGTCCTCCCCGGCTCCCGCTGGATCTGCCATTCCCATTTCTAGCAGTTAGTTCCTAGGTGTGAGAGCACCGTAACTCTAGAAGGTTCTTTTGGAGATGCCCTCAGTGCCGTGGACAGGCTAGTTGGCTCAGCTCTCCAGAACAGGCTGCGTACTCTAAAATACAGTGTGACAGAGCTGGCTGGTTAGCTAAGGTGGTTAGAGCACAGTGTTATAACAGCAAGGTCAAGAGTTCTGATCCCCACACCAACCAACCACCAAAATAAATAAATTAAATTAAATTAAAAACAGTGTCTCAGTAGAAAATTTGAGGGATAGTAAGGCCACTAGATCAGGAGATGACTGCCATTGAAAGACAGTTTATTCCTCACAGATCCAAGAGGAGGGAGCACGCCCAGCAGGCAGACGGAGACGGGGCGCTGTGGGCTGGAGCCTTCATGGTGCTTTCCTCAGGAAGGAATGGGCAAGGCAGGGTAGGCAGGCTTAGAATTGGCTAGGGCGTGGGGGCTGTCCCTGATTGCCTGGAACCTGGCCCCGGGTGACTATAGCAGGGGGATAGTGGCCTGGAGTGTAAGAGCCCACTAGAGGAGGTGGTCGGGGTGCGGAGTCTGATTGGTTGGTGTGCATTTGGAAAGCTTGTTTCTGGGAAGAGGTGTCCTCCCAAGGAGGAGGTAGGAGGTGACGAGAGAGACAGGAGGCTGAGGCAGGTGACTCGGGCATGTTATGGGGGCATGTTATGGGCCATGCAGAACAAGGCGTGTCTGGCACATGCATGCAGTGCGAGTGTTAAAGCTTTAAGTTTGCAGCAGCTGGAAACATGGTCAATGCAGCTGAACCACCCCTGGGGAGGTGGTGCCAGCCAAGCGAGGCTGCCCGCCATCTGTGATGGTACCCTCGGCCTTGCACTTGCTGAGGGAGAAGTGAAGGGAAGAAGCCCAGAGAAAGGACGGCCGGGCCCTCTCCCCGGGAGCATCCCACCTGCCCGGGGGATCCAGCAGCCCCCCGACTCTGACTGGGATGGGCTGGAAGGCAGGGCAGGCCCGAGGGCTGCAGGATGAGGGGCGGCGCTGGGGACTGCTGTGGCACCCACCCCTCTCCCACCATCTTCTGCAGATCGTCATCGTTCAGTTCGGCGGAAAGCCCTTCAGCTGCTCCCCGCTGTCCACGGAACAGTGGCTCTGGTGCCTGTTTGTTGGTGTTGGGGAGCTGGTCTGGGGACAGGTAAGTGTCTGGTCAGCCCTGCAGACGGCACAGGTGATGAGCAAGATGCCAGGGAATCACGGCAAGCCCGGGACCCCTGCTGCCCCAACTCCCTTCCCAGAGCCTCAGAGCCTGCACCATAGCTGGGATGTCACGGGGCCCAGGAAAACCCGCTGCTCCTCTTTTCATGATAGGAGCAAAAAATGGCCCCTTAAAACTGGGTGGCTTCAGAAATCCCCACATATGTGAAATTAAACAGCACCCTGCTAAAGAATCTGTGGGGCAAGACTCAAGAGAAGATAGGAAATATTTTTGACCTGAGGGAAAGTGCCAGAACAATGTATCAAGACCTCTGGTGCAGGGGGAAGTTTACAGGACCCGATCATTAGGTCAGAAAGAAACAGCCTGGTGGCTGGAGCTGGTCAGAACACAGGCACACACAGAGCCAGCCCAGACCACACGCACACAAGAGGCCTCTGAAAGCATTTCTCTGCAGTTCTAGAACATTGGCAGAGGAAGGTGAGTCTAGGATCAGCTCAGGCTGCCATAACAAAACACACGGACTGGGTGGCTTAAAAAGCACACATACTTCCCCACAGTTCTGGGGGCTGGAAGTCCAGGATCAGGGTGGCGGTGGGGTCGGTTTCTGGTGAGGGCCCCTTCCCAGCTTGTCGATGGCGTCTTCTCGCTGTGTGCTCTGCAGTGTCCTTTCGGAGGGTGCTAATTCAGTGGGACCAGGGCCCCACCATGATGACCCCATTTCACCTCGATTACTTCCTTACTGCAGATACAGCCACGCTGCGGGTTAGGGCTTCAACATACGAACTTGGGGGGAGACACAATTCAGTCCATAGCAATCTGGGTTTTGTTTCTTGAGCCGCTGGTGTCCCCCTGAGCCGGCCACAGGGGCAGCTACTCCTGCCGCACATGCCAACTCTCTTGCTGGGCCCCAGCATCAGTGTCCTCGGGGACAGCCCACCCAGTACTCATGTCATTATCAGAACTCTCCCAGTCGCACTTGGACCGGGCTGCCGCGTGGAGTCCACTCACCTCCCGCGGCATAGGCTCTAACCACGGCCGGCCTTGCCCGCACTGAGGGGTCCTTTTAGTTTTTTTAACTTTTTTCATCTACAAAAACAAAACACGTTTGTGTGGAAAAAATGCAATAGAAGGGAAGCTCTGGGAGCAAGTCCTCCAGCCCCTCCTGGCCACATTCACCAAAGACTCGCTCAGACACAAGACTGACAGGACAATCTGGGCAGGCTGAGACGTGTCAATCCGTTTTCCTCCACCCAGATCCACCCAGATCATCCTGTCTTGTTCTGGAATTCCAGATGCCTTTCCTTCATCCCTTTCCGCGGCTTCCCCTGCGTCCTTCTAGACTGCCGCCCTAGCCCTCCCTTCCCCCTTGTCGCCTCTCCCTCCTGTCCCAGCCCCCAGGGTAAGGCCCTTCTCTAGGAGAGACCAGGCGGGAGCTTCCACTTTCCCTGGGGAACATATTGCCTCCCCTAGGGCTTTCCTGGGGGCCGGTCACATGGACAGGCAGTGTCCACGTGGCCAGCCTCAGCCTCCAGCCCCTCTGGAGGTCGAGCTGATACTTCACGGCCCAAGCCCCGCACTCCATGAATCACACTGTTAGCATAGCCGCCCATAAACAACACTCCCCTCAGGCAGAATGTTCCAGGGGCTCAGAGGTCCCCTCCCAGGAGCTGGGGCAGGGGCCACCCCTGTCTTTACTGTTCTGGCTCTCCCTGACCTTTGACTAGATGGGGCTCCATGGAGGAGGCACGGGCCCCGTGCCCGGGAGCCCCCGGCCCCACCACTGCCCACTCCTGGAAGTGCTGCTCAGCCCCCAGGAGCCCCCGGCCACCTCAGCGGCTGCTCTCGCTTCACCCCCCTTGTTGAGACATGGAAACCAGCACCCTTCAGACGAAGGAGGCTGGCGTCTCTGGCTGGAGAGCAGAACGTGGCACCAGGCAGGGGAGCCAGTGCACGTAGCCTTGGGGTCCAGGAAAAGGTGCCCGTCCCCAAGTCTGCCCACAGCAAAGAGGAAACAATGCACCAGCCTCAGTCTGCGTTGGAGGGCAGCTGGGGAGCGGGGGTCCCTTCCTGACCCCGGTCCTGCTCTCATGGCCACTTCCGCTTGCTGTCCCTTGGCTATGACTCCCCACAGGTCATCGCCACCATCCCCACCAGCCAGCTCAAGTGCCTGAAGGAAGCAGGGCACGGGCCTGGGAAGGACGACATGGCCGACGAGGAGCTGGCCGAGGGGGAGGAGGAGATCGACCACGCCGAGCGCGAGCTCCGCCGGGGCCAGGTCCTCTGGTTCCGGGGCCTCAATCGCATCCAGACGCAGGTAAGCCGCCGCCACCGCCGCCGCACGGTCCCTTGGGGAGACAGCGGGTGCCCTGCACCCGGGGCCAACAGGGAGACACTGCGGCCTTGCTACCAAAATCCCCAAAGCAGTCACTAGTCTCCCCTTGTCATCTCCGGGCATGCCTGCCAGTGGCTGTGGCACTGAGATCTCCTGCCCCTGACACCTCCCTCAGAGCCCAGGTCCCCCCCAGCAGGCACGGACCAGCGCCGTCCGCATAACTGCTGGGCTCGCCTTACTTGGTGGGAATGGCCCCAGGTCATGAGCAGGTGACATTCTTGGGAAGAGATGCCCATTTCAAGTAGGTTTTGGTGAGCTCGGTGTTCATGGGATTATACTGTAAATACCATGGAAAGAGTTAATTTGGGAAGTGGACTCTGGCCACTGAGCTGCTTCTTTCCGTTCATCCGAATGTCTGACACCAGGGCTGGCCAAGGCTGTCCGCTACAGTCGTCTATAAAGTCAGACGGCTTCACAGGAGCTGCCTGCTCTCTGTCCCATCCCTTCCTCAGCAACCTTCCTGCCAGAATGTTCCATACTCGCTGTCTCGCCACATCCTTCCCATGTACTCTCTTGAGATCCTGCTGTGGCCTAGCCTCTGCCACCACCCCCAGAAACGGTCCTTGCCAAGGCCACCTTCTGGCTCCTGGGGCTGGGGGGTCCCTGGTTCCTCCTGCCTGGCCTGTCAAGGGCCCTCCCACCCTGCAGCCCTTCGTTCGGCTTCTCCTCAGCCCTGCCTGCCCGGCCCCATGGGTGCCGGTCTCGTACCGGCACATTCCCCACGGCCCCCCTCCCCAGCACCCCTCACGCGCCACCTCCTCCTCCAGGAAGGCCCAGTCCCCCTTCTCTCGGGTGATGCTCTGATTCAGGGCCCCCAGTCCCACTGGCCCTGACATAGGTCCAATTGCTTCTCCTCCCTGCGGTCCTTCCAGAGTAAAGGACACCACCATGCACCGTGTAAGCCACCAGCAGCAGCTGAGGCAGGACCGCCCAGCCAGGCCCCCCGGGAGTCTGTCCAGGCAGCTTTCTGGAGCAGGACCTGAGGCCACACCCCTCTGCAGTGTCTGCCTCCAGACTGTCTGTCCCGCACCACCAGGGGCTGTCTTCAGTGCCCTGGGTCTGGCGTGTCCTCCCAGTGGCCTCGTGGGGCCCGGCCTCCCATCTGCTCTGCTTGCCTCTGCTCGGCTGGCCCTCCTAGGCCGCCCTCTGCACCAGGGCCTGTGCAGCCTCTCTCCACTGTCCTAAGGATGAAGTCCAGGCTCCTGACCATGGCCTTCAAGCCTCTGCCTCTTGGCGTGACCTCACCACTGCCCAAAGCCCTATACCCCTGGCTGCCTTTCCAAGTGTGTGCTCTGCTCGCCCAGGCCGCTGCACCTCCACGCTTGCTGCTCTAAGTGAAGGCATTTTGTAACCTGCTACCTCCCCTGTGTCCCCTTGGGGCCCCCTCCTCATGCTGCAAAAGCCCACTCAAAGGCCACCAGCCTTGGAAAGCCTCCTCAAACATCACTCAGTTCTGCCACCATGGGCCATCAGTGCTCCCAGCCCAGAGCACTAGAGTCTAGGCATATCAGAATGCCCTGGGGGACTTTCCAGAACTGCAGAGTCTCAGGCCCAGCCCCACAGACCAGGATCCTGCAGGATGGGTGAAGTGGCACCAAAGAACTCCATGTTTAAGGAGCTCCCCAGGGTTTCCAGCGGCTTCTCCAGCTGAGAACCAGGAAACTGGGCTGGTGCCAGAAGAACCTGACCCAGTGTGGCCAGGGAAGTCTGTCTTAGGTCGGGACTCTGAGCAGCGTTAGCTCAGCCCTGGCCTGGCCGGATCACAGAGAGAGCCAGACGGCTTAAGTCTTTCGTCCCAAGTGGGGGCGCCCGGGACAGGTTGGGGCATAGCACAGGCCATGTCTTCTTGTTCCCCGCAATAAACATTCATGTGCTAAAGTCAAAACACGCCTCCCAAGGCTCTCCTGGCCACCCAACTGTGCCTTCTACAAGACTGTGCCTGTGAGGCCGTGCCCCTGCCCCGCCCCTGTTCTGGCTCTGGTCTGTTGTCCCCTGTTCTGCTGCAGAGCCCAGAGTTGGCCCGAGCCTTGGGGGGAGGGCACAGCAGGACCTTGCTCCTCAGCAACTCATTTCAGTTCCATCAATGCAACCTAAGACAGCAGCCCCACCCTGATCTGAGGTGTCAGTGTGTCTTGGGTCTTCCGTGTGCCCATGGGCTCTTGGACCTGCCACTGCAGCTTGGCTAGTAGAAGTGGGTCCCATCATTTCGGGTCTTGGAGTTTGGGGTCATTCCACCTGTTGGTGCCTATGTAGACACTGACAGGTCAGGTCCCTGCTTTATGCACGAGGAAATGGAGCCCAGAGGGAAGGGACTTGCTCCGTGTCACACAGTGACAGCGAGGACCAGCCAGGCTCATGTCTCCCATGCCTGGCCCAGAGCACAGGCCTTTCCCCTCAAAAAGCCGCTTTGATTCCTCTATGGGATCCTGACCCGTGCGGCTTTTGAGCTTGACTTTGTCGTGTCGAATTCACCATGCTTCTCAAGAATGCTGAACCAATCGTTATTTTATCTCAACTTTTTAAGAGTGTCTGCTCTGTGTGACTCAAAATACCTTCTTGAAAAACAGAAATAAAGCCTGGAAGAAGCCCTCAGGCTGTGTGTATGCCCCAAGCCAAGACAAACCTTTTCCAGGCAGCCAGCCCCAGATTTCTGGACTTCGTGAGCCACAAACTATCTCCCCAGATTTCGGAGGCCAGCACAGCTTTTTATGTAGCTAAGTGAAGGCATTTTGTAACCTGCTACCTGCTCTCACCCTCGTTTCATGCTAACGTATCCACGCAGCACACGGATAGGGTGTCACTCCAGAATAAAAGAGCGTCCTTCGAACCCAGAACCTGTAGCTTTATTAAGTGCTCATGACTTGGCCTTCCTGTTTTGCATTCCGTTATAAGCCAGTGAGAAACTTCCCCAGCGACTGGGCCTTATTCCTGGCCCAGCATTTGGTCTTGGGTGAGGGGTGGTGATGATGGAGGAATTGTCACTGATATGGTTGTCCCGTCAGGACACCAGGTGGAGCCAGGTGAGGCCAATGCAAACCGGAAGCAGGAAAGTCTTTCTCACCCTCATCACCTTGGCCACAGCAAGAGTCCTCCCTTGAGAGAGACCTGTCTCCACACGCTTAGAAACGTCTAAAGCTACAGGGGAGATGCCCCAAGAGACTGTGACGCTGACATGCTGGGCGTGTGCCTGCTCACGTGTGTGCTCAGTCCGCGTCCCCACCGGCCCCTTCTTGTGAATAAGCAGGTGTGCTGGGCACACGGGACCGAGCAGTTTGGGGGGAAGGATGGTGAATCTTTTCCGCGCATCTTCATTTGGGCTGGCGTGGGGGAGTCTGAACACCCACACTGCCTTCCTCCAAGAAGCCCTGGCCCACGCCAGACACCCGGCTGAGCCTGGCGGCCACCACGTAGCCACTACAGGGCTTGGGGTGGGGAGCAGCTAGCGAGTGGGCTTCGGGCTCCAGAAATGCATGCTGGCTTCGCTGCTCACATCATCCAGTGAACCACATGGCACTTTCCAGAAATCAGATCAACCCTCTAAGGCCAAAGATCCCCCATCCCCGACTGAGGTCATTTGCAAAGAGGGAGCCAGAAGTGTGCACCCCCCAGAGTGTAGACATGGTCTCCTGATGGGGGGACACTCAATGTGGCCACTGGGCCGCAGTTCCTTGGGACCCCACTGCCTGTGCATCATCTGTCCCCAGGCTCCTGCACGATAGACAGAAGTCTCCATCTAGTCAAAAGCAGAGTGAGGAATTTCAGAGATGCGGGGTCAGGGGATCCCAGCAGGTTCATCCACAGGCCTTCCAACCTCCAGGAGACGTAAAGAGCGGGGCCGATCCTTCCAGCCTCTCTGCCCGCCTCCCCTCCGTGCCCCCACCCAGTTACTTGGATGAGTGGCGGAAGTGGAGTGACAGCCACCCCTTCCACTGGAGCAGGGCAGGCGCACCTAGGGAGAAGCAGTAGATCCCCCCTGCTTAGGACAGTGACTCCCCACGGGCCCGGGGGAGGGCCCTGTCCCCGAGCTATTGAGGAATGCAGCCATGGGGACTTTGGTTTCTAATGGGAGCGTGGTGTCCCATCCCTCAGGTGTGTTGGGGCGGAAAAAAGGTTGAGCACTGTGAAGTAGGATAAGACAGTATTGCCCGACACAGGTACTTGCTGACGCGTGGCTTACCACGCACATATCGTGGATGCAAATGACCGTTTCTGAAGTGTTTGCAGTGTCCCCTGCTGTGTAACCCCCTCCCCTCCCTCCCTCGTGACCACTCGTCATTTGCTCAGCAAACCCTCTCTCGGTGGGTGACACGGAGGCCAGCCTCGGTCACGGCTGACCTAGACGAGGCTTTGCTGTCACGATATGTGCCCGGTGCGGCCCCGCAGGAGCCGGGACAACAGTGCAAGCCAAACTTTATCTCGTTTTCTCTCCCACAGATGGAGGTAGTGAGTACCTTCAAGAGAAGCGGTTCATTTCAGGGTGCTGTGCGCCGGCGGTCTTCGGTCCTCAGCCAGCTCCATGACGTAACCAATCTTTCTACCCCCACTCACCTAATTCTCTCTGCTGCCAATCCCGCCAGTGCTGCTGGGAGTGAGTCTTGAGTTCCCTTTACTCTCATAAATGGCCTCCCCAGCTCTGCCTTCTCTTTTTTCCAGTCTTGCACTTGCGCTCACCGAGCTTTGCCGTTCTTTCTTACCGCCCCGTCCAGTCCTTCCCGCCCAGACGGTGTGTCTCTCCAAAGCCATATTCTCTTATGAAATGTACCAACCTACGGCACGTCCGGACCTTCCGCTCTTTGTTTGGTTTTTGGGTTTGCGTGTCGTGCTCCTTCTGCCATTGGTTTTCTTTTCTTGAACTTGTCTGCACTTGCCGATGGTTCTTCATGAACTTGGGCCGCTTCTGGTGGTGTCTGGTGTCAGGCTGGGCCTTGCTCGGTGCCCTGTGGTGCAGTGGATTTGGAAGTGCGCGGGCTCAGGGCTGCTTCCCGGGGCTGGAGGGGAGGCCAGTGCCTTTCTGGCGTCATTTGCAGCGGAAGAACGCAGTTTCTGGTTGTTTCCAAAGGATGCTGCTGCCACCTGTCCCCAGGCAGCCTCAGTGGCCAGTCACTCCCACGCAGGTGGTGCCCACCCCGCAGGCCCTTGCCCCAAGCCCTCGGATGTTAGAGGTGCCCCAAGAGCTGGAGCTCACAGGCCGGGCCCACACTCAGCTCCATCTGCATTTGTTCCCGAAGCACCTTTGCTCTTTCCCAACAGGCCTCAGGACTGGAAGGTCTTACCCGATCTGGTCCACATTCTCTCTCCTCCTTTCTCTGAGAAGCCGGGAAAAATCGATTCCCTTGTATACGTTTCAGTGAAAAGTTTCCACCATGTTGGTCACATTTTAAAGAGAACCCAGGGGCTTTCCTACGGAGGTAGAAAGCTCCACAATTGCTCACATCTTTTTACAAAGACAGAGGAAGGCCACCAGACCTCTGAGCCTGCCACTGCACGGTTCCCCCAACCGGAGAGAACGCAGAGGACCATGCAGGCCCCCACCCCCGCAGGGCGACCTGCTTTTTGTAACAAACTCAAGAGATTTCAAAAACCAAACAGTAAACTTTCGAGTATGAGCCCAGAGCCCTTGGCAGGATGCTTCGATGTCCCCCTTTCCTTTCCTTCCAGTGAGCCCCGCAGCCCTCCCCTCCGTGACCACGCCACTCCCCAGCAGATGGGGCCTTAATGACGCCTTTTTCCCATCACAGACTCTTCGAGTTTCCTCTTGCTTGATTTCTTTTCTTTTTCTTTTTTTTTTTCTTTTTTTTAGGAACTGCTAAGAGGTCCCCGGTGGGGGGGCGACCCTTCTCTTGCTTAGGCTGTCATTTCGGGCTACTCTGCCCTTTTAGGAACGGGTGAGGGCCGCCCCACACCCCACTCGGGATCAGCACACACGTGCACACACACATACCCCCCTTCTCCGAACCACGGGCCACACATATCTGCAGTTTTCTTGCACACTCACTGGGCTACCCATCCTGGCCACAAATATTGGCCTACACCGTTGCCATTTGCCCCAGACAGGCCAGCAGGAAGCTCTGGCAAGTCTGTTAAGGACAGAAAGGGAGCGTAGCCTCCAGGCGCCTTGGCCAGGGCCCAGCTGGGCAGCAGCACCCTCCTTCCTGGGAACGGAGGGGCCCAAGCAGGCGTGGGTGGCCCCCAAGGACCGTGAGGATCTGCCCCCGGCCTCTCCTTCCCCTCGACTTCCTCCATGTGTTTCTTTGCCATCTTTCTCTGTGCCTCCTGTCTGTCCGTCTGGCCATCTGCCATCTGTTGAGGGGGACGCGGCGGACATGGTCTCACTCTGCACGCCCCTCAAGCCTTCTCCATAGCTCTGGCCTTGTCCCCCACCCCCACCCCAAGCCAGCTCCTTGTCCCACTCCAGGGCCAGCCCGGCCTTGGTGGCCCCTCCTTGCTGCTCTCCTGTCTTTGTGGCCCCCTCCCTCCCATCTCCAGCACCCAGCAGTGCCCGGTAAGTACAGTGGGAGAGACGCCACCCCTCCCGCTGTTCACGAGCCATCCCATGGGGACCTAGGTAACAGCTGGCAGAAGGAGGGAGCTGTCCCTTCCACACTGTGCGCTGCCGGGCGAGGGGCGGGTGGCAGAGCCTTCTGAGGAGGTGCTGATGTGGAGGCCCAGGGCTCCCGTGTCCCAACCAGCCTGCAAGGCTCATCCGAGCTGAGTAGCAGCACCTCAGCAAGGACTTCGCTGTGGAGGAAGATGCTGGTCAGGGGATCTGCTTCCAGAAGCCACCAACCAAAACTGCTTCTTGCCATCGTCACCGTGCAGCAGGTGGCTATAGAACTCAGAACCCAACCCCCACTGCGAGCTTCAAGGACCCCAAGGAATCACAGAGCCCAGCGCCCTCATCTTGCCAATCAGGGAAGGCGGGTGCCCACAAGAGCCAGGACCTGCCCAGGGCCCCATAGGCAGCCAGACCTGGCAGAGCAGGGACGAGCCCCAGCCCTCACCCCCTCCTTGGAACTTTCCAGCAGGTGGAGCTGCTCAGAAGGCAGGCCACAAAGGAGCTTCCCTAGATGAGAGCGGCATTGTGCCCGGTGCTGTGGCCCCAGGCTGCCCCAGCAAGGCCTGAAGGTTCCTTAAGTCGCAAGGTTTCCTAAGGAAAAGCCACGGTTTCATACATGAGGAACTTTCTCCTCTTCGCCTGCTCCAGGCCAGTCTGCCTTTCAGCCTACCGGGAGTCAGGGGCCTTTCAGGGGACCGTGCCTGCAGCTTTCAGGGCACTCAGGGGCCTCCTGTTAGACTCATTCCCACTAAGGCTGTCAGGCTCTCCAGGGGGAAGGGCCAGAGGGAGAGGAGAGACCACCACTCGCCCGGGTTGACCACACTTTCTAGCCTCCCACACTGCATGCGCACACACGCCTTTGCTGCTTTGGGACTCAGGAATCCCAGCACTGTCCCCACTCCCTTCTTTGCCCACAGACAGCACTGCTCCAGGATGGTCTGCACTGCTCCTCCTCTGCCCAACCTGGTGGCCATCCCCCATCATGGCCATTTCATTCACAACCTTCCCAGCTCAGGGTGTAGTGCCTTCTCCTCAACAGCTGCCACCTCATTTCATGTGACCTGGGACATGGTCTTCAGGCTGGCCCAGCTGGGCAGCTCTGGAAAGAGGCTTCTTTAACAACCACCTTAAATTTTCCCACCTCAGCCACACACCCAAACACCCGTGCTGCAGGAAGCTCAGCATCACTGTCCCAGTTGGGTGTCCCCAACCGTTTCTAGCATCCCACGCCAAACTGTGGCCGGAGATGGGGCATTCCAGTCACTCGGATTTACCTAGGAGCAGCAAGTCCAGGGCATTGCACACTTGCCTCCAGATGGGAACAGGAGGGTGTGAGGTCACTGGAAAAGCAAACGCAGACCCACGGGGACACACAGACACACCCCAGCCCCTCCACAGCTGCACATCTGAAATTTGCTCCCTACCAGTTCACCCTGATGGCCCTCCCATTTCGACTGGCAGCCAAGCCTGGCCTGTCCTTCCTGTAGTCACACTGGGCCTCCATACTCGAATGTTTACTGTCGCAGTAGGTCAGGAGGTGGCTCCTGACCCAGCCCAGCAAAGAGGTTGGGGGGACAGAGAGGTTGCAATTGGTCCAACATGCCCACGGGAGCTCTCTCAGGGCTGTATCATTCTGATTAACCATGCCAGAACCAAATCACAACAGTTGCTTTATTTTAATTGGCTATTGCAACCTGAAAACCTTGTGTCCAACAGGGCCAAACGGGGCTGCGTGAGCACCCACAGCTTTCCTTGGACATACCTTCCAGAGCACAGGGAGACATGTCCGTCACTCGCTCACAGCCCATGGTGGAAGGAACGTGGCAAAGTGAAAACATCTTGTTTTCCGCAGTTTGCTCCTTTCTCAGGAAGTTCATTGATTTTGTGCCTAATTTCTCCATTTGGGTTTCTGGGAATAGCGTATTGGCATTTTTTCTCAGATATTTGACAGTGTGCACATGGCCTCCACGCTAGAAACAGTATCAGCTCCTCCAGTGAGGGCCCTTCCCTGCCCTATTGCAGAACCACCCTCCAGGCAATTCCTAAAGCGTCCACCAGAGGGCAGCCTAGGGCAGCCCCCCAGAACCCCTGCTGCGAGCCTCTTCCGCAGCAGGCACCTCGCGTACTGCCACTTGGGCCGGGGTGAGAGGCCAGGGCTCAGGTGCAGCTTCTTAGTCCTCTTTAGCCTGACCAGGTGAGACCAGGCGCTCAGCTGCTGATGGCAGGAGCACAAGTCTGGGCTTGCACGATCCTGGGCACAGAACTCACCAGCCTTTAGCAGTTCCAGCTCCACACAGAGCTGTGTCTCTAGTTTCTGACTTTTGGTTCAATCCTTCGGTGAAAAGAAGGCCAACTCAAGCTTGCACTTTGATTTTTTCCTAAGTCAAGCACACAATGTCCCCCTGGAGGACAGGGCCCTTCCCCTGCTGTTGCCCCCCACACACAAGTGAGGCCGAAGCCATCTTTCCCTCAATTTTCAGGCCTTCTGAGCTTGGTTTCTCATTGCCTGAATGGATTGATGTATCATGTGGCCACAGGCTCTTGATGACATCTTCCTGGGTCACTTTCAAGTCATGAGTCACCCCCATACCTACAGGGAGGGTTGGGGCCTGGAAACCCTCAAGTTGCTGGCAAGCAGTTCCCCTGGCTGTCCCTGGCTGCTGCGTTTAGAATTTCCTCTGAATCCAAAGCCCGGATGCCAGGGAGCTGGCAGGTCCCTGCCTCGCGAGGGAGGTTCTGGACTAGTGGTTGGAGCCGACAGCGTGGAGCCCCTCGGGCTGCTGGGCCCGCAGCGTAGCCGCGGCAGGGGCAGTTGGGGTTCAGTTCTGTTGTTGCTGAAATCATCGTGCTGCGGGAGCCTTCGCTTTCATTTTTCTCTTCTGTTCTTTCCCTTTGTTCCATTCTTTTGGATGGGCGGGCTTTCCCCAGGCCTGTGCTGGTCTCCCTGCCTCCCACCCTGCCCGCTGCGCCCGCGGCTCCTGCATGCCTGCTGGTAGGCCCTGCCGGTCTGCAGCATCGCGTGCCCTGGGGGTGGCTCGGGGGCCTGGCCATGCCCGCGGCGCCCACCTGCCTGTGTCTGAGGCGCACAGAGCACTGCGTGTTCCCTCTGGGCAGCAAATAAGGACCAGAGAAGGCAGCTGAGTGCCTATTCTGGTCACAGCCTCGGAAGGAGAGAAAGCAGGACTCAGAGCATTAGGGCTGCTATTTGGGATGAATAGTTGAGCCAAGCTCATGGATAAAAAAGGCCAGCCATGAGTTGATCTGGGGTAAGGGGACAGGACAGGTGTCACAGCCCTGGAGGTGGGTGCGGAGTGCACCAGCTAGCTGGTTACAGCCATGGGAGGGGCAAATCCATCGCAGGAGACAGGCAGGCACCCGGCCACATGGGGCCACCAGCGAATCCGACAGACAAGCCCCTGCCCCCAGGGGCTTATGTTCCAGTGACAGGAGGCAGAGGAGAGAATGGTGGGATGTGTGGGACGTTTTAAGGTGAGCAGAACCAAGGAGGAAAAGAAGCGGAAGTGGGTGCAGGGGTGCTGGGACAGTGCACTGAGAAGAAGGTGAGGGGAGCCCTGCAGCAAGGGAACAGCTAGGACAAAGGCCCTGAGGCAGAGATGTGCTGGAAGCTGAAGAGAGTAAAGGACGGGAGGGGAAGAGAGGCCGGGACAGGTCCGCGGCAGGTCTGCAGGTTTTCCTCTTGGAGGGTTTGCCTTGGTGCAGGTCACGGCACGCTCTGGCTTTCATTTGCAAGGACTGTGCGGGCCGCCATGCCGAGAACAGACTGTAGGTGTCAAGGGCCGAGAACAGACTGTAGGTGTCAAGGGCCGCAGCAGGGAGAGCAGGCCGGAGTCTCTGCAACAGCCAGCCTGGGCCAGCTGGTGGCGCGCTGGCGGAGATGTGCAGGGGCGGATTGTGGGCGGCATCTGCAAGCAGCAGTGGGGTGGGCGGGGGCTGGGGCTGGGGATTTGGGGACTCTGAAGGTTGAGACGTGGGTTAGACATCCAAGTGTGGAGCTAGAGACAGATGGGATGGAAGCTACAAGCCTGGTGACAGCACCTGGGCGGGGGGCAGGGGCAGGAGAAGATGGGCCAGCAAAGTGGCCACAAAGGAGCACAGCACACCCTGCCATGCCAGGCACTGCTGGGCCCGGGAGGAAATAAAGTAGCAACAGCCTCTTGGGGCGTCACCACAATGAGAGCAGAGACGTGTGGCAGCAGCTGGAGGGGACTGCAGGACCGAGAGAGGGTCTCTTTTAAGATGGGACAAATGAGCAACCCGGATGAGGGACAGGGAGATGGCAGGAGGCCCGCCCTTGAGTGAGTGCAGGGGCAGTGAAAGAAGACGCCAGGAGAGGGGGACACGGGCTGTGGAGGCACGTCACCTCACTCAGGTGGGATGGGAAGCTACCCGGCCCTCCTGGGTCCTCCCAGACAGACACCTCGGCCATAACTCTAGGAGTCACGTTTCCTGGAGCGTCCTCCTCTTTCCTTTCTTTTTAAGTTGCCCTGTGGTGAAATGGGCTTTGAGGGCGGGCAGCCTGATGAATTCCCACGCACAGTCAGGACGCAGGCCAGTTCCATCGGCCACGAGAATGTTTGGAGCCTGGTGGAGGAGCCACAGGGTCTGACTCAGTAGCCAGAGCAAGCTTGGAAACTCCATCTGGAGAACGGACGGTGCAGGGGACCGCAGGGGTGTCAGCCCCGCAGTCAGGAGCTGGGTACTGAGTGCTCACTGTGTGTCAGGCGCCAGGGGAGGATCAAGGGACCAGGCAGACAAGGTCTTTACCCTCAGGGGGTCCATTACACGCTAGATGGAGGTGTCTAGGAGGTGGCTGGCGACCCAGGAAGAGGTGGGCCCCAGCTGCAGACACAAAGGTGGACGTGGCGCAGATGGTAGTTCTGATGGTCTGTAGATGGCGTTGACAGCCTTGAGGGCAGCGAGGTCCCTTGGGGAGTGGTAGAGATGGACGGGCCGCCGGGCTGGGAGAAGAGCAGACGCGTGCAGGAGGCGGAGGAGGGAGGCCCCGAGAGCCGGCGCTGGGAACACACGGAGCTCCCGGCAGGTGGAAGGGAGCCCGGCGTGAACGAGCTCAGCCCTCCAGCACGGGCCTCTCTTAGCAATGTTTGCTGGTTTTCACCGACCCACTTTCCCACCATAAGACCAATACCAAGCCATTTTTTAATAGCCAGAGATTTGAATGCAGGGAAAATAGGACCTGGAGAAAAGCTGACTCGCTATCAGCTGTGAAAGACTCACGATGATGCGAGCCGGGCTTCGAACCCCCTCTGTCCCCGTGGCGAGGAGATGGTGTGGCCAAGGTCGCACGGTGCATTGCTGGCAAACCTACCCACACATTGCCAGGGTCAAGGGCAGCAGCGGGCAGCCGTCCCTGTATTCTGTGACTTGATGGGTACAGCCGGCATCTAGAGGAGGCGACGTCCTGGGTGGCTTCCACACCGCAGTCCCGCACCAGAAAAGGCCTGAATAACGAGGTGACGTCAGCATAGCTACCGAAAGTGAATTGTTTCTTTTCATTAAAAATGTCAAGCGATTCTCAATTTCAGTGTTACCCCTGTTTCAGAAACCAGCCCGGGGAAAAAGGCCTGCGTGAGAAGAGCTGGCCCTCTGCAGTCTGACAGATGCGGCTGCACCAAGTCCACAGAAAATCCTAACTGGATTTCAGATACGGAGCTAGAAAATTCCAGTTTTATGAAACTACTTGGCTCACTTTTGTGTGCTTGCAAAACTATGAGGTTTGCCTCATTTAAACCGATTTAGGAGAACTGTGCTTGGCCTACCTGAGTCGGCCCCAGGGCCCAGACTCTGGAGGGCTGAAAGGGATTCATTGTAAACAGGGTGATTCATTGTCTAAACTAGAGGTTGGCCAGCTTTTCCTATAAAGGACCAGAGAGTAAATATTTTTAGCTTTTCAGGCCAGGTGTCTGTCGCAATGACACAAGTCTGCCCTTATAGTGTGAAAGCAGCTGTAGACAATACGTACACGAATGGCATGGCCGTGTGCCAATAAAGCTTTATTTACAAAAACAGGCAGAGTGAGCCCTTGAGCCATAGTTTGCCAACGCCTTATCTAAAGCAAGGAAATGAAATCCTAGAACTTCAGACCGAGAAATGACTTCAGATCTCATACTGTGTCCACCTACTCATAGAGAGAGAGGCTGAGCGGTGCTGGGCAGACCCCACCGTCCTGCCTGGTGGGCCAGTTCCTGCCACTGCCCCTAGAGGGAGTGCAGCTGGGCTAGCCTTGCATTCGCAGCACAGGGCCAGCTGGCACTGGTGGCTGTGCTGATGCTGGCTCCTGTAAGGCCCAGTAGAGGCCGACCCATCCACTCCTGGCTTCTAGAAGCAGGAAGGGGCCCAAGCTGGAGGGCGAGGGAGGGAGCAGAGAGAAGCCAGAGGAGGGAGAGCTTGTTCGTGATGCAGGGCCCTGCAGGAGGTGCAGGGGCTTTGGAGGGGCCAGGAGGTCAGCTGGAGCAGAGGACCGCAGTCAGGGGGAGTCCGCGGCGTGGTGGGAAGTTCCTCCTAGCGGCTAGTTGTGCTGATCTGAGGTCTGGAGATGCAAGTGGGGACAGCCAGAGAACAGCGCGTAGAAAAGCCTGGGTGGAGGGAGAATATGGTAAATTCTGGGCATGGGCAACTGGAAGACGGTGGGAGAGGCTGGACAGCAGGTAGCATTAGCTTGCAAAGGGCCTCTTGTGGCACGGCCCACCCCCTAAGACCTAGTCAGACCCATCTAGCTGCAGTGTGGCAAAGGACACAGGTGGGACACAGGGGCATCTGAGCCGGGCCAGGCTTGGTGGGTGCAAATCACCAATGTGGCCATATTCGGTCTCAGATGCCTCCAGGTGGGGGACGGGCAGGCCCTCGGGCCTGGAGCTCTGAGGTGGGGCCTGGGCCATGGAGCCTGGTAATAGCCAGATGGGCCCAATGTCGTGGTGTGGACAGGGAGCAAGAGGGCCAGGGCCAGGCCAGAGCTCTGGAGCACCCCGGGACAAAGGAGGGAGCAGTGGAGGTGATTGGGCAGGAGCAGCCAGTGAGGTAGAAAAGGGACAGGCAGGGGCAATGTCCAAGAAGCCATGAGAAGTTTCCAGAAAGAGGGGAGGTCATCTGTGTTGAGTGCCCCTGAGGTGTCGAATAGGACGATAATGCAGAAGCAGCCACTGGACTTAGAGGCACGGAGATTGATGGCGCTGGCCACGGGAGCTGGGGCTGGGGTCAAAGTCCCTAGAGAAGCACGGAAGGAGACCCACGCAAGAAAGGCCGGTAATGCCCACAGACTAGGAACTTTCTCCTACCAGAAGGTACTCAGACTTTCTAGTAGGACAAAGTAGACAGCCCACTCTCCAGCATTCGCCCCCTTTCAGATCACTTTTCTACCAAATTGCAATTCAGATTGGGCAGAGACCCCAGGGGCCGCCTAAGCCAGTCCCATCCACCACCCCCACCCTCCAGCAGGGAACTGGGAGGTGGCAGCCAAGACGCTAGTGAAGCACTCCTGCCTTCCACAAGATGTGCCCTGGGCAGCCATTTCTCCTGCATGGAGAGAGTTGACAAGACCGAGGCCCTGACCCGAAAACCCTTACCAGAGCCAGCCACAGCTGCCCCCTTCCATAGCAACCCTCCAACAGAGGACCCCCGGCCATTGATGTGGGTGGACCTTGCCAGCACCAGCCGGCCACTGACTGTCTCCTTTCCTGTCCTTTCTTTTCCTTTCCTGTCCTTTCTTCCCTCCCCAATCCCAACCTCGGGCCCCTGTCCCTCCACCTCCCGCTCCAGATCCGGGTGGTGAAAGCATTCCGTAGCTCGCTCTACGAAGGCCTGGAGAAACCGGAGTCCAAGACGTCCATCCATAACTTCATGGCCACGCCCGAGTTTCTGATCAATGACTACACCCACAACATCCCGCTCATCGATGACACGGACGTGGACGAGAACGAGGAACGCCTGCGAGCGCCCCTGCCCCCGTCCCCCAATCAGAACAACAACGCCATAGACAGCGGCATCTACCTGACCACGCATGTCACCAAGTCAGCTACCTCTTCAGCGTTTTCTTCCAGTCCCGGAAGCCCGCTCCACAGCGTGGAGACGTCCCTGTAAGCAGAACTTCTCTCGGCACACGCGCACTCACACTCACTCACGCGCACTCACACTCACGCACACTCGCACGCACATGCGCAGATGGGACCCCGCACACCTGCCAAAGAGCGAAGCAACTCAGGTGGCCAAAGACTTTTCTTACACAGCATTTGCAAGGACCCGAATCCATTCAATAAGGGTGCACCCGCCACAGGCTTCTCATCCAGGACCCGAGGAGAAGGCGGAGGAGGGAGAGCAGGAGAAGGACGGAGAGCAGGAGGAGGTTCTTCATTCAAAGGGGAAGAAGCAGCAAGCAGAAGAGGGAGCAGGGCTGTGTGCCCCACCCTTTGCCTGCCAATGCTTCTTTTCTAACGAACGCTACAACCTCACCCGACGTTTGACACTTGGGCTGTGCGGGGGACAGGGGCTGGCTTGGGTTTATGGGGAGCTTTGTTGCCCCTGTGCAGGAGCAGTCATACCAATATATTCATGCAAAAAAAAAAAAGGCGAGACTGTGCAGGCCTGGGAAGGGTGCCACTGCCCAGACAGGCCACCCGAGGGAGCCACCTGCAAACATACCTGCAACTGCAAAGCCACCCATCCCCAGAGCAAACTAGACACAGCTGCAGTACGCATGTGTGTGCAAGTGTGCATATATATGTATGTGTGTGTCCAGACACACACATACATATATATATGGCAAGATGCATATTTAAAGAATAAGGAACTATTTATTGGCATGATATTTCCATTCCTCTTATCAGGTGTTTTCATTTTGAAATTTCATTATTGAATGTAGCAGGGTTATTTTCAGGGAACTAGACTGCAAGGATACCTTTTTGGTTAATATATTTGCGTCCCTAATCCCCAGCCCTCAGGATCCCCACCCCTCCACTCCTCCCCTCCAGCCAGCCCTGCTGAGATTCCCAAGGAGAAGGTCTGGGAAGCCCGAGTCCTGGAGTCACTACAATGGAGACATTTGCACTCTGAGACCCCTTGCCTATAGAGGAGACAGATTTTTCAATGAGATTTGTATTTAAGAGGAAAATACCAAAGTATTGATGAGAATGATCCCCTCCAGTAGGTGGAAGGGGAAGTTTTGCTTTCAGTTCCTTTGGTTTCAACTCCAGTTCCAAGTTCTTAATTCTTGCTGGTGGCTTCCTTTGTCCACACCTCCAACCTCAAGAACATGAAGCACTATGTGCCAGGTGCGGGTCCTGCCCGCACCCCACCCATCTGAGCTGATGGGCGGACCTGGAATTCTGGGAGCAGCCTCAGTAGAGCACATACAGCCCCCGGTGCCAGGTTCCAGTGGGGAGGGGAGAGGGCCACAAGTTCAAAAGAGACCCGAGAGGAGCTGAGTGTGGGGGAACGACATCAGCAGCGCGGCCACCGTTCGGAGCCCGTCCTCGGCACCTCTGACTGGGCTCCCACTTTTTGCTTTGGCAAATGCCCAGAAGTTCTCGCTGGACCACCTCAGTGGCGGCCGCGGCCCGGGACACACCACCTGTCCTGCCGATGCACTCTTTTGACGTCAGGCCTCTGATCCAGAGGACAAGTACAACTTGGCACGAAGGCAGGAACCTGCGTCTGCTGCCACTGCTGGCTCTCGTCCTGCCGGGCTCTCTCCCAGGCCGACGTGGCCCACCCGGCACGTGGGGCTGCTCCATGGCCGGGCAAGCTGAGGCTGAGGCTCCCGAGAGCTCCTGGGAGCCTCTCCTGGCAGTGTGCGCACCCACTGTGCCAAGTCTCAATTTCCCCAAATGAGCCTAACCTCGGAGGGAAACGCAGAGAAGGCAGAGGACATAGAGAGAGTCCCGACTTCTGCTGCCCTATTGAGGAAGCCAAGATGGCCGGACCTCTTCCTAAGGGAAGGCCAACCCTACCCTCTGTCCCCAGGTTCCAAGTGTGGACACCCACAGCGACACCAGTGAAGTGGGCGGCACTTTGCAGGAAGGCGATTGAGGTCCAACCACAGCTGCTATCCATGCCTGTCGCTCAGGAGCGGAGCCCGCCACACCCCCACCATGTCCCCACCCCGCACTGACCCAGTGCCTCACCTGCCGCGGCACCCACGCAAAGCCAAACGTCCCCACCAGGAACACCGATGCCACGGCAGCCCTGAGCAGGAGCAGTCAAGTCTCGGGCAAAAGAATTTGGGTTAGAAAAGAAAATCCCACTTTAAAATGCCAGCTACAGATAACTTAAAGCCATCCCTTTTTTTCTAAAGGGCACATTGAGAATGTTACCCATTTGTAACTGTTCCCTGATGTCCTCGTTTAAACGACAACAAAAGAAAGGGTAACTCAATTTGTTGAGGGTCTTTGTGTTCTTAAATAAGAAATAAAAGTCAGAATGTTTAACTTGAAGAAGATAAGCTGTGGAATGCGACACTCATGGGCTGCTTTTCACTCTCTGTTGTGGACACATTGATAGAACAAATGGCCAACATACATTAAGCCAAACTCACCGCTGCTGTATAAAGTTGCCTAATGTACACGTCGATTGTTTAGTCCCTGGGCTGCCTTTGTGCTGGGGTGTGGGGTTCAGAACTCGGATCTTTTGCTCTGGTTTTTGTACAGTCTTCAGGCCGAGGGACCTGTCTTATCGGGAAGCCCCTCTTTACAAAGCATTATATTACATGGAATGGCTTGGTCAACTGTGTTCAGTTAATAAATATGTTTTACATTTTTATCTGCCTGTTATAAAGATGAAAAAATATCTTAATGAGAAAGACCACAGATGCATAATAACAAAGTCTGTAGTTGAATTTCCTAATTTAAAGAATAGACCAAAATTTCTGTGTGTAAGAAAAAAAAAATGAAAGGCTCCTACAATCCTGGTCTGGGTAACGCGTGTGATTTATTATTTGGTGAATTCTTGTACAGAATAAAACAGGTGTCTTCAGGGCACTTCACCAGAGCTGAGAAGCTGCAGGGATGGTGAGTTTACCCTGGGCGTGCGGCAGCCTGGCGGGATCCTTGCCAAGGAGGAAACAGCTAGCCCACTGAGGGCAAAGGGGACAGGCGCTCAATCTCTGGGGATCACCAGCTATCAGGACGTCGAAGGGTAGAGGGCCCTTGACAATCACGACAATTCAGCACCAGTGCACCAAACCAAACACCAGAACCCTGGCACACACACAGACACCCTAGTTTTTGTAATGTGGTAAACCACGCAGAACATGACATTTGCCACGTTAACCATTTTGAAGGGTGTAGTCCAGTGCCATTAAGTGCATTTACACTGCTGTGCAAGCATCACACTCTCTCCAGAAGTGTTCATCTTCCCAAACGGAAACTCTGTCTCCATGAAACCCTAACTCCCCGCCCCTCCCCCAGCCCCTGGCGACCACCATTACTCTATGGATTTTTTTTTTTTTTTTTTTTTTTTCCTTTTTGAGACCGGCCGCACCTCGCTCAGCCAGTGAGCGCACCGGCCATCCCTATATAGGATCCGACCCCGTGGCGGGAGCGTCACTGCGCTCCTAGCGCTGCACTCTCCCGAGTGCGCCACGGGCTCGGCCCTACTCTATGGATTTTTTTTTTTTTTTTTTTTTTTT